CTTTTCTTTTTTTTTCTTCTTGTAAATACTTAACTTCTTGTTTACAACGAGCGTGTACGTAAACGTCGTACTATCATAAAGATCTTTCGCGAATATCTTTTTATCGGAGACAAATCTTTTTTCATTGCTGTCTTCGCGTTTAATTAAAACAAAAGCGACGGTAAAATTAAAAATAAAAAAAGGGTTGAAATATTATAATAGCTAGAGGAAGCTGGAGATAAAAATTGTTGATAATTGTGAACAAAGACGATGGGCCATCGTCGACAGGTGCGTGAACTTTTCTTTCTTCGAATAACTCGCGTGGTGGAGCTGTAGGTATTTTTCTTCTATATACATATGTAATTCTCTCTCTCTCTCTCTCTCTCTCTCTCTCTATCTCTCTTTACCTTTATATATATATACATATATATATATATATATTTATGTGTGTTCCTATATATGTATGTATATATGTATGTATATATGTATATGTACTCATGTGTATGTAATATTTATCATAGTAGTAGTAGGTGTGACGAAAGGGTTGAAATACTCGACTCGACGCTTCTTCCCTCGTGTAGACTCACTCTCTTTCTTTCTCGCTCGAGAACGCGGACGAGTATATTCGATCGATCGTATAACCAAAGCCGGATAGGACGGATATCAAATGGCATGCTCGTGGAAAATTACTCGGGAAAATTACTTACTCGAACTTTTATCTCGTTATAGCTTACTTTCGAATCATATTCTCTTATAAAATGTATCTGTTCATTTCTAAATAATTGAGAGTTCCTTTTTTCCTCTTCCTATCCCCTCCACAATCCATCAACCCTACTCCACCCTTTGATTATGTCTTTTACTTGTACTTTTTCTTTCTTTACTTTCATGGGTGGGGTTGATAATAAATGGAACTATATTATTAGCCAGTTTTTCTGTATGAAAGTTAGCCTCTATACAGGGTTGAAATGATTATGTGGCTCGCGAATGATTAGCATGACCGATCTGACGTGTTATTCATCCAAGACATTTGAAACGCATGCATGCGAATTTTTACTTTGCCTTTCTAGATTCTAATTTTCTCTCTCTCTCTCTCTCTCTCTCTCTCTCTCTCTCTCTCCCACTTTCTTTCTTTATTCCACTTAGCTTTCGTGTTTACGATCGAATATATGCATGAATGATTTTCACGAATTCAGATTGCAAAGATAATTAAAGTCTAGGAAAAAGAAAAGAATTTCTTTTCTTTCCTTTTTCTTTTTTATTTATTTCGTTCTTATTTTTTTCTTCTTTCTCTATTTCTTTTTAATCTTGTTCCTTAACTTTAATTTCGATAATCTGTCACGATAAGTAATTTAATCTATATTAGATTTTATTTTACGAAATATTTTAACACTATCAAAAAATTTTACGAATTTTGTTTCAACGATTTTTATTCATTTATGAATAACTATATGCAATACAGATAATACTTATCGATTAATTTAATTTCTTTGTTTTAAACTTTATAATCCATCACGAGATGTAACTTAATATATCAAGTATCATTCTAAGGAATGTTAGGTGTAAAAGTTCTGCGCGATTTTACTTAAAAAATTTTTATTTATTTAAATAATCCAATTTAATATATTAATTATATATATATATATATATATTTTTTTTTTATATGCTAAATGAACGTAACTTTTTTAAATTTAATAATATACACATTATTATATATAGATCGAATATTTATAAAAATATTTTACAAGTTTAAGTGTTTTATAATATTTAAAAAAATTATTTACAAGTTATACAGTTTCATGAAATAAATAATTAGTATTCTAAAAGTTTGATAAAATCGAACGTTCGAACGATTAATTATCTCTAAAGCGTTTCCAATATCAGAGGAAGAGAGGGAGAGAAAGAGAGAGAGAAAGAGAGAGAGAGAGAGAGAGAGACCGCGAGATAAAGAGAAAGAAAGAAAGAGAAAGAAAAAGATACAAAAGGTTTAACGATACTCGGTATTCCGAGAGTTACTTATCATCAAAGAATAAGAAGTCGTTGAGTTTCTTGAAAACGTAGACAATGTAGGTCACGAAGAGATACATACGTACAATACATATATACATACATATGTACGTCCGAAAAAGCCTTTGAGGATCTCAACTTCACGGTACTCTAAAACACTTGGCACCGACCGTATCACCCTTCTTACCTTTTTTCATTTCAACCCTTATATTCACCCTCTCTATATCTTTGTCTCTTTTTCACCCTCTAATATAAGTACATACACAGGGTCTCTCAGATTTTTTTTTGCCATTTCTATCGCTCATACATACATACATAGATATATACGCATACATTTATACATATACATTTTTAATGTCCTTTCTCTCTCTTTCTCTCTCTCTCTCTTTTTCTCTCTCTCTCTTTCTTTTCTCACAGAGATATCAAATAATTAATTAATTCTTTTCGCTCTATCTCTCTCGTACGCTTTCTTACGTATATACACATTTTAAAAACTTCTTCATTTCTTTTTCTTTTTCGTATAAAGATATCATACATATCTTATTTTTTTCTCGTTTTATCTCTCTCTCTCTCTCTCAGTTTCACGTATAATATATAAATCTTGAATTTTTCATTTTCTCTTTCTCATTCTTGCGTATACACGTACATATATGAAAATCGTTCGCGTTTTCCTTCTCACTTTCACACTTAACACAAACTAAAGAAACATTTCTATGATCTTTTTTTTTCCTTTTTTTCTTGTTTCTTTTTTTTTCTTTTCATTCCAATTCTTTGCCACCTTCTTCTTTCCTACACTATACCTGGCTCGCCGGTACACAGTGTCGGTTGCAACTGCGCAATGTCCGAAAACTAGCCGGAGGAGCACACCCTTCCGCAGTTGCAGTTCGCAAGACGATCTCGTCGGATCGTGATCGTATTATTCGGTTAGTTTCAATTTTTAAAAGCTCACAGCAACGACGATAGTTAAGAAAACGTTTATTATAGTTTGTATCAACGACAATAAATATATACGTTTATATATGTGTTTGTGTGTATGTAGGTTTGCGTGTGAAACGCGTTTCGCCGATAGAAACGCGGGCTGTTTAATTAGCGTATCGCAAAATGAAAGAGTTTAGGCACGTGATCGATAACGATACACGTGAGCTTTCCTTCGAGAATCAATCGAAAGTAAAGGTACGTTAAAAGAAAGAAAGAAAGAAAGAAAGAAAGAAAGAAAGGAAAAGAGTGTGTTGATGATTAAATGAAATTGCTATTTTATCTTTTCTTTTTATCATATTTTAAATTTCTTTTATATATATATACATATATATATACATATAAAGAGTATATATGTAGAATAGAATATATGTAAAGTATAGAGTATTTAATATTATAGAGTATATATATATATATATATATATATATATATACACTGTTATGAATATACAGTAACATATGCTATCATAAAACCTTATAAGGTACAGTAATTATATACATATGTATATACTGTTATAACTGATCTAGTTACATATATATATGTTTAAATTATAAATGATTAAAAATTCAATTTTATCAGTATACATAAAAAGTATGCCTTCGATCAACTTGTGTTTTTAATCAAGTATAGTCAATAAACACATACATATATACGCGCAATATACGATACACATATATGTATATACCAATCACTATACGTATATGTATATATACAAAATAATTTTATACGTTGGATAGAGAGGATCGATCGATTATCATTGAAACACGTGTTTACGTTTACCGTTAATAGGATTTTATTCGCCATAGTAATAGAAAATTTCTTTCGAGTACAAAAATGAAAAGAAAGATAAAGAAAGAATGAGAGAGATAAAGTAAAGCTTATTTTTGTAAAAGAAACTCATTACCGTATATCTCTATGTATCCATGGATATATACAAACACACACGCATACACAAAGATATCTACATCCTTAATGTACCTTCGCATTCTCACTATTTTTCTTTTTTCATTCGGCATAACGAGCACCGCCACTTAATTCCAATGTAACAACCACTCAACAGAGATACGGGTGTCGACCTTCGGAAGGGTTTGCCTTTTTTCCTACTCGACTACTAATAATTCAATTCAAGTGGCTATTTTATTTCCTTTCTTTTTATCCCTCTTTTTTTCCACTTCTATTATAAACATCCTGGAATAAAAATACATATATATGAATGAACTTACTTAAACACTTTGTCAAATTATTGGTTAGACGATTATAATAAACAATAGTTAAAGGACAAAGTACTTAACAAGAGAAAATAAGGATAAGTTCGATAAAGTGGAAAACATCATTTTCAATTTCATTAGTAATGATGACAGGCCCTTTGTCTAGGTCGAGAAGTATATGCTCCCTATCTTCCTTTATACACGCTCCTACGAGTCTCTAATTAATCGATACTTGGAACATTATTAATTTCCAGGTAAATTATGATACACGTGTCAGCAGAAAACGCGCACCGATACGACCGTGTAAAGCGCAAGGGTACCGCCTTCCTAACGAGCCTCTTTAAATCAAGGAAGCTCAATTTAGGGATGAAGATCAACGAGGACGAAGAAATGGAACGTTCTCCTAGGATCGAGTCACCTGGTATGTTTTCATAAATTTTTATATGTATATATATATATATATATATATATATGTATATATTTAAATATATATTATATATACACAAGGATGGTCTACATAAATAGAAAAAAGAAACAAATTTAATTTTCCAGTTTCATAATTAACAAAAGTTTGTACGATATATATATATATATATACATATATTTATTAACATTACAATTTACTTGAAGACAAATGTTTATTTATTATTATTTTTTGTTAATTAAATTTTATGACAACAAATCGGTGAAAATAATGATTATTTCACGTATCTGTAATAATTATGATTTTAATTATTATAAAAAAAAAAAGAAAAGAAAAATCTGAAATCTACCATTTCTGTGGATTTTTCTAATGGTAATTCTAATATTAATTAGTTAATAATTTCATATGTATCGGTATAAATAATTTTTAACATTTTACGTAGGATATCTTTTATACATATATGTACACACACACACACACATATATATATATATATATATAAAAAAAAGAATGTAATAACCCTGTAATTCATCGAATACGTAATGAACGATAAAATTCTGTCTCGAATAGGATATTTAATGGATTCTAATTATCCATTCAATGATGGTGGAGAGCCGCTATTACCTAGTTCCATATTTTAGCTTGCATTGCATAAATATTAATGACAAATGAAAGAGTTGTTCGTTCTATGTAAAGATTTCGTGCTTCGCTCTATCGGAGTACCAAATCAATGCACTGGAATACATACATGCGTATATGTATTATATATACGTTCTCTATCTCATAAACGTTATACATACACATACACAAAATATATACACAAAACACATACACACACACAAGTATATAGGTTTCTATATAGTTATATACGAAATGTAATATATGTACCTTCAGCCATTATCGCAAACACGTGCCGCCGAGGGGGAAACGAGAACGACAATGCCGTGTCGAGGATTCCGTCGACCTTGAGCGTCACTGCCGTCGACGTCGACGTTGCTTGTCAGCCCTCACCGTCACACTCTTTTTTGACCTCGACACCAGGTAGAACGCGAAACATCGATCAGGATATGGAAGCAATCAGGCTCAGCCGTCAAGACAATCCATATCTTCAGGTTTCAAATTTTCTAAAGAATTCGCCTATTTTTTTAATAATTAGAAAAGACAAATTTCAAAATGAAAAAGAAAACATGACGATGCAAAAGTGATGAATAATGTTAAGTTGTTAACAGTAATAGTATAAATGAAATGGAACAGAAAGAAAGATGATTTGTTATTTCTAATTTTGTCTCTTTTTTCTTCTCATCTTTAACAATAATAATATAATTGTTTCAAAGAAATAACTGCGTAAGAGAGAGGTAAAGAGAAAAATCTAAAGATAATTTGTTATTTTTTATCTTGCTTTTTAACGCCAATAGGTAGTATTAACAAATAACTTATTTAAGAAATAATAGAGAGAGAGAGAGAGAGAGAGAGAGAGAGAGAGAGAGAGAAAGAAAGAAATTGTTTGTTTTTTTCAACTTCGTCATCTTTCTTTTATTTTCTTTACCTGTTTTTAGCAGTAATAATATAAAAATTGTGAGAAAATAATAAAAAAAGAAATAGATAGTTCTTTTTTGTTTTTTTAACTGCTTTTTATTTTTATAACAATTTCTTTTTTTTTTTTTTGTTCTTCTTATCTTTTTTCATCTTCAGGTATTGGCAAGTCGCGAAAGTCTCGTCGAATCGATTGGAGAATCGGAATCGGACGATGCGAATCTTATGTCCCAGGCAAGTTTCGTAAAGATCTATATATATATATATATATATATATATATATATATATATATATATATATATGTATATGTGTATATATATATATATATACACATATAGTATTGAATGTAAGTATATATGTACTTGAATGAAACGTGCAGCTGTTCGTATAAGATAGGAAAACGTTGAAAGGAACGTCGATGTAGGTGATCTTGAAATCTCTAGAGAAATGAGATCGACCTATTTTTTATTGAAATAAAGAAATAAGATATAATTGAGATAACGTTCTTATCTCTACAAAAAAAAAAGAAAAAAAAAAAGAAATGAAAAGAAAGAACCAAAAAAATTAATGAAACGAACAGATCTTTGAATATTTTAATGAGGCAACTTTTATAATCGAAATTTTAGTAAAACTTTACAAAAAAGAAAAAAAAAAAGACATTTGCGCGTTTGTTAAATTTTATTATTTTCATTTCCTTACTTCTTTTTTCTTTTTATTTTTTTTTTCTTCTTTTAATTAAAACTAAACAAAAATGTATAACACGTGAAAATGTGAAAATGACTTTTAGGAGCTGTGCGACACGGACCCTTTAACACTAGCCCAAGTACACGAGCACCTAGTGCGTAGTCCACCCCCAGCTTCTTGGCCACACTCGACGGCGTTCGATTTTTCCCGACATAATCAAAATTGTGGAACACATAGGGGAAACGAGCAAGAACTTTCGAGGAGCGAGCCTTCTACGGACATAAGAGGTAGGGTGGAGTTATATATATATGTGTGTGTGTATATATAAAAAAAGAAAAAGAAAAAAAAAAGTAAAGTAAAATGAGAAAGAAAAAAAATGTAATGTCGTTAAAAAATATACGTACAAATCTTCGTTAACTTTTTAAAAATGATTTGATTTTAAACATTGTCATTCTTATATCCGTTATTCTATTCACCACATGTATATATACATATATATATATATATATACATTATATAGAGATAGTATATCAGTATGATTCATTGTTCCAAAAAAAGATTAATTAATAATACGAAGAAAGTAAGGTTCTCTTTTTCTCTTTTTTTTTTTTTTATCGCTCGATCTCGATGATCGTTATCTTGTCTAAAAGTGAATCATCTAAAAACAGATTAAAACGTGGGGTGAATCTTT